CACACACACACACACACACACACTCCCCCCATCTCTCTCTCACACACACAGACACACACACACACAAACAGACACACACATACACACACATACTTATATCCACAGACACGCAAAGTACTGACTCCATCAAACAATTTCCCCCCTGCACCAGCTGCATAAAATTATCTTGGCCAAGCTCTCTTAGTCGAGGACAAGACGCCAAAAGGTATAATAAGAGCGTCTAGATCGAGGCCCAAAATTATCAATTTATGGTCAGTCCAGCTGACCTATGTACATTGTAATGTCTTTGATGACGTAAGGAAGGATTCCTTTGGGCCAGTAGTGTGGTAGATCGGACACTTATGTCTCGACGAGATGGCGGGTGTTTGGCAACGTTCTTGAAAATGGCATTTACAGACAGCGAGACACACATTTGTGCAAATACACACACATACACACAGATACACATACACAAGTACATACATCATACACGCATACTCACAAACACACACACACACACGTGCACACACACACACACACACACACACACACACACACACACACACACACACACATCTATCCAGCTCACCTATAGCGTCTGTAAGGACGTATGGAATGATTCCCTTCGGCCAGCGCAACGATAGATCAGACACTATGGCCCGTCGAGATCTTGCGTGGTCCGCAACGTCCTCGATATTGTCCACCACCTCGTCTTCCTGAAAAAAAATATAGATTTTGAAAATATAGTCGAAATTGTCCAATACGGCCACTCAGTAATCGAGGGAGGAGAGAATTGGTAATCTTAGACAGGTGGACACATGCGTGCTAACATGAACTTTTGCAGTTGCAAGCGCCGTAAGTTTTTAAAAGATATGTTTACGTATTACGCTGTGTCATAATTTAGAAGAAATTCAAGGGGTGAGGATGGGGGCAGTGGGAGTGGCTTTTGTACAAGTGATTGTCTTAGACAGGTGGCCGTTAGAACAGGCTTTTTCTTCTTCAAGCGTCAGGTCTGGAGCAGACATTGACGATCATGGTACCCCACTCCTTCCTGTTGTCTGTCTTCATGACCAGCTCGGTTTTCCTAGATGTGTTATTAGTTGCTAAGTTGTTCAAATCTGTGTACGTGTTCTTTCTATTCCTCTGCTCTTCTTTCTCTCTAGGCTTCCACACAGTAACAGCTTCTCCAATCCCCCCCCCTTATCTATCTCCTTTCCTCTCTTTCCTCCCCCCACCCTCACCTCCCTTCTCTCTCTCATGTACACAAAGCCCCCCCCTCCCCCACACACACAAAGCACACAGTAACTCATCCGTCAATATCTATGTCATCATAATCGTGCTACTACAAACAGCCTTCGCATGAGCCCATAACCCCAGGATGACCCTACATTCTGATATTATCAAATGTATTTTTTTATAATGCAGACAAAGGACCGAGTACTGAGTTCTCAAATTACAAAGCTTAACTGAGTGTGCGCATATTGTGGGTAGCAGGTGAAGGAGTAGATGGTAATAAATTTGATCTTACTTGTCTTCCAACCCCCCTCTTCGATTCCAACTCCGAGCCACATTGTCAGCAACGTATCTATGATATCTCTATTTCTATTATTTATACTTTTATTTCCTCCTCCTCCCCCTCCTCCTCCTCCTCCTCCTCC